TCTTGAGGGCAACTTTAAGATCTGTGGACTTTTAACTCCCAGAATTCCCCAACCAACAAGTTCACAGGTCTTAAAGTTGCCAAGATTGCACATCCCTGGTTTAGTGGCTTTGTTTTCCTGTCTTAATATAGAGAAATTGCCATTTTAGGGGCCTTAGTCCCATTTCCCAACTATAAAAAAGGAATGTTGTTCCATAAGCCTGTGCCCATCTATTCAAAATTGTTTTCCAGATGCAATAGTTCAGTAGAAAACATGCATAGATACAGAAGCTTTCAAGTTTCTCCAAAACATTGAAAGCAATACTGCCCAGCTGCTGCTCCATTTCAAGCATGTATGCAACATCATGATGCACAGGTAAAAAGAATTTTAGCTTGTGTCATACAACTTTTGCCAAGCTCTTCTCTCTTGACTGCAACTGTAGATGCTGCTATAGACAATGGCCTCAGGTAAATGTCTATCGGACTGTATACCCATATTCATTTACAAAATAAAGTGAATGTAAAAATGGACAAAGCCTGGGATTTTCCTAAGAAAAATTTGTTTTAAAATGCAAAAAGCACAAAATGAACTGCATGATTTCATAATTATCTTAATGCAGTCAATCTTAATCTGAACTATTACCAATTTGTAGTATTTTAGCTCTATTATCTGTGATTTAAAGAGCGATAACCTGCTTGCCTAATTTACTATTAAAGAGGATCAGTGCTGAAATAATATTTTAATCTTGCTCACGTTGCATTGGTGTCTGAACAAACAGATGATGTCGTATCCACATTAGGAAACAGAAATGTCGAATTTGTCAGATTCATGTGAATGGTGGTATTGACTGTAAGTGTGAAATTAGTTGCATAGAAAAGGATGCATGTGGTGTTGGTCCCATTGGTTACATTCAGAGGAGGATATAAGTCAATTACTTCACTTTCAACAGACATTAATTGTCGCTTACTATGCCACATTATATCATGTCTCACAGGTTCCTGGAAGAGAAAACATGAAAAACGTGATTTATTTCAGCAGAAAACAAAACCCAGAGATCAAATGTCACCCTTAGCCTTATTATCTACACACAGCAATCCAGAAATGTTAAGGATGGACAAGTGTGTTAGTGAACGTTGCTTGCTGAGGCTCCCTATTAATCGGAATGAGTTATGACATTATCATGGAAATAATACAAATTATAATGCAACTGAAGTCAATTCTCCTGGATGCTCAGATGCCAGCAAGCTCTCCCTGGCCACCAGGCACTTCTAAGAAGTTCTTCTCCTGTAATCACAGACAGCAAAATGTGCCTGTATTTTGATTCTGAACATTGGCTTCTTCAGCAGACTTATATCTTTGGCTTTTACAGAAAACAAAAGTTTGGATTAATGGGCTGTCACAGATGTTGGGAAAAATCACCACCATTGACACACTCTACCTTTCTTTGCCCAAGCTTGAAACAGAAGAAAGGGGCTTAGGTGAATATGCATCCTGCATCAAGTTGGATTAGCTTTTCTATTTCACAGTATTATTGAATGATCAGACTGTTGCAAAGCATCACAAAGAAAGGGCAATAGAGAGAAAGGAAACAAAATGTAAAATTGTTCAGGATCTCTGTATGGGAAATGAAAACTACACTGGATAATAGTAACAGAGACCCGAAGAGAGTAATAGCAACCACAATAGGACATATATACCACTTCGCAGTGCTTTACAGCCCCTTCTAAGCAGTTTACAGAATCAGCATATTGCCCCCAACAATCTGTGTCCTCATTTTGCCGACCTCCAAAGGATGGAAGGCTGAGTCAACCTTGAGCCAGTCAGAATCAAACTCTGGCAGCAAATAGAGTTTGGACCATCTTGGATCTTTATAAGAGAAAGCAGAATATCCATTGCTATATGGGCATTGGGTAGTGCAGCATCTTCAGTAATGTCTTTGACCTATTTTGCCCTTAGAAAATTAAC